CAAGATTCTTAACACAAGGTTGCAAAAACAAAAATCTGTATGCAGCCGTTTTCATTGTTATTGTGTATGTGCTTGATCCCTCAGTCGCAGTGTAAGAGCTGCACAGTTATGAATAAAGGCAGCTGCACCCTCTTTCATTCAGCATTCCCATTAGTGCTTTATAAATGTCTTGCCCCTTTCTGTATCCACTGAGGTTCGTCAGGCCCAACACATCTTCAACAAACTCCCCCTTTGCCTCATCATAAAAACTCACAAACACCAGCAACTGAGAATTGTCAGTGGTGTCAGTGGACTCACACACAGCTAAGGAAATGCACTGTGCATTTGTTATTCCATCACAAAGCTGATTAATCAAATCACCAGCCAGTATTTATGTTCTTCTGGTTGCTGTGGAATCTGAGAGGGGGATTTGCTTGATTTGACCTGTTATTTTCTCTTTTTGTTTGCATTCAAACATGGTCTTCATCACTTCAGTCATGCATTCTTTTATACTGCAGTTATATGGATACAGTGGAAAGTCCTTACCTACTGGCCTAGTTAAATCAAAGTGGTTACTTTTTTTTGGCTGGGCAGTGTAGTTTTACGCACCGTCTTATTTGACTTTCTCAGGACTTAAAACAGTTTTTTGGGGGCAGACCCCCACAAAAAAAAAAAAATATTTACACACGTACAGTAAGGTCATCATCTTAACAGTTTTGTATGCTCATCCGTGAGCAGAGCATCAAGTCTATTACAGCTGAATGCGGCGATTCTCATTTTGTTCAGCAAAACGCCTCACAAACTTATTAAGATCAAAGCTTTAGTGCGTTTTGAGTCAATGCTGAGTACAACCGCAAATACCTCATTCCTTCAGTACTTGGGTCTGAATGCTTCTCGTTTTGCACCGTCCCGTTGAAATGAAATCGCCGCCAATCATATTTCCACGCTCGCGCCAGGGCCGGGGTTACAAGACGTGCGTCTTGTGCTGCATTCACTTGCACTCGGACATTAGAGACTTTCTCTCATAAATCCCCTAAATAATGAGCCACAACTTTTCTTTCAAAACAAAGCTGCCCACTGGGGTGGCAGCCCCGGTAGGTGAAACTATAGGCTACTAGCTACAGTACAGATGCAACTAGATGAGCTGTTAACTCTCGCTCTGACTTTTATTTTTTTTAAACTCTCGCTCTGACTCAGACAGGTTGAAAGAGACGACACACGCATTTTTCCCACCGGCATTCCGCGAAGACCCGCCCCACTGTGCCTCTGATTCACTGACTGTTGGTGGGGGGGAAAAAAACGCTGACGGGATGCTGAATGTGATTGGACCAATGCGTTGACAGACACACACAGACAGTGGAACAGTCGGACATGCAGAGCGCTGTTTGCAGTGGACATAGCAGAGAATTTTGACTCGTTGTGTTGTGGCGATGTCTCGCAGATAACACAGATAATACAGATAATACATATGAAAAGTATAATTTGCTCAGAGTCCAGAGACAGTTGTGGTTCGGTCCGGACTCGGACCGGAGTCCGGACTTTGAGGATGCCTGCCTTATGGTCTCCATTGTTATAAAACATGTGAAGTTTTGGGCCGTTTGGAGCATATCCACTGAAGTTATAAGAAAACCGTGTTTCATGGCGAGCATTGTGTTTCCATGGCAACGGCATATATGACGACACCCCATAATAGGCTTAGATGCCTTATGGTCTCCATCGTTATAAAACATGTGAAGTTTTGGGCCGTTTGGAGCATATCCACTGAAGTTATAAGAACCGTGTTTCATGGCGAGCATTGTGTTGCCATGGAAACGGCATAGGAGGACACCCAATAATTGGGGTTAAAGTGTGTTGATGGCTGCATCTTTATCAAACCTGTGAAGTTTTGAGCCGTTTGGAGCATTTCGCCTGAAGTTATAAGAAAACCGTGTTTCATGGCGAGCATTGACTTTCCATGGCAAAGGCATATTATGAAATCTCAAAACTGACACGTATAGGTCTTCAGGGCTGGACTGTTAGCACACATGTGGATTTTTAGCACTTTTTGACCATTTACACAGGAGTTATAGCAATATCGTTTTTTATGGTGAGGGATGTGTTGCCATGGCAACAGCTTTTCAGGAAAACTCACAAGACATAAACATGGTGTTTCATGGTGAGTAATCTGTCGCCATGACAACGGCATATGATGACACCCCATAATAGGCTTTCATGTCTTGAGGTCTGCATCAATATCAAACATGTGAAGTTTTGGGCCGTTTGGAGCACGTTCACTAGAGTAATGACAATATCGTGTTTGATGGCGAGCATTATGCTGCCATGGCAACAGGATTTGACGAAATCTCAAAACTGACATGTAGTTATCTTTAGGGCTGGACCGTTGGCACACGTGAAGTTTGACCAGTTTTTAACCATTTCATAGGAGTTAAAGCAATATTGTGTTTTACAGTGAGGGATGCGTTGCCATTGGCTTTTGAGGAAAACTCACTATTGTCATATTGAGGTGTTGAGGGCCGGACCATTAACTGTCATCTGAAGTCATGGGCAATTTGGATGATTTTCCTTTGAGTTAAGACAACATCGTGTTTTATGGCGAGCATTGTGTTCCCATGGCAACGGCATATGAGGACAACCCATAATTGACAGAGCTGTTCAGGGCTGGAGCAATAAGGACAGTCTGAAGTCTGGTGCCGTTTGGACTAGTTTCCTTTGAGCTATGACAACATCGTGTTTTTTGGCGAGCATTCCTTTCCCAAGGCAACAGCATATGGTGAGATCTCAGATTTGACATGGAGCTGTTGAGGCATGGACAGGTGATATACAGGTGAAGTTTGGGGGACGATCGGACCGTGTCCATTGGAGTTACAGCAACATTGTGTTTTATGGTGAGGGATGCATTGCTATGGCAACGGCATTTGGCGAAATCTCAAAACTGACAGGGCTGGACCGTTAGCACACTTGAAGTTTGAGCACTATATAGCAATATTGTGTTTTACATCGAGGGATTCGGGCCCATGTCACTATGCTATCATTTGTATGTGCTTTTCTATGGCCATAGATATGTCTCATAATTATTTGTGTGAAAATACAAATAATTTGTGTGTAAAATGTGATTTGTAAATGTAAAACACCATCCACAAATGCATTTAAAAGATTTGCAAACTCATAAATAAATGTGCGAATATAAAACGGATCTGCAAATACGCAAAAATATCTTCACAAATAAAAAAAAGATCTTTGAATATCTCTTTAACATTTACAACTTTCGATCAGGCATTTGTGAATCCATTTTGTATTTGTCGACCAAAAATGCGCTTGTGGATCTCAAATCTCTGCTTGTGGATCTCACATTTCTGCTTGTGGATCGTCTTTTTACACACACAGCGTTTTGAGACAAACTTTCCGCCGGTCTCAGCTAAAATCTACTCGTGTCACTCGGTTATTTTCGGAAACCACGTGATGGCCTGCTGATGACGACATTTCCGCATGGTTTTCAAAGTAAGAGCATAATGGTTTGTTTAATGCGCTGTTTTTGTATTTTAATGAACAGCGGAACGTTAGATGCATTCTTTATCACCATCATCATGTTATAGTGATACAGATACTTTGTGTTTAGCATATATCGAGCACATTCGTATGCATTGATGTTCATTGATGTTGAAGTACAGGCTACGCCACTTTCGGGTCCCGGGGGTAGCAGCTGGCAGCCCAGAGATAACTCTTTCTTCATTGTTTTTTGTGTATTCAGACAAGCGGTTCAAAGTTACAAAACACTTCACATCTTATTAATCGGCCTAGTTTGTATTTAACGTTATTATGTTTATACTTGTTTCCACACATTTCACAATTTGGGATGAATTAAGTATCTATCTATATCCATCTATCTATCTGTCTATCTGCGGCCCCCGGGCCGCCATTTGCCCATCTCTGATCTGTCTATGCATCTGTCTATCCATCTATCTGTCTATCCATCTATCCATGGTTCATCCATCTTACACAGGTAAGAAAATAAGTCAGTGATGCTAACATGAAGGAAAATAAATATTATAAATATGTAGAACTTAAAATGTATGGCCTTGTTTATCAGTAAGGGTGACAATGTAAGAGATGATTATGATGACATGTGATAGTGTGTAACATTAAGCCCATGACAAAATAAATTAGAAAATGAAGGCTAAAGCTAACACTAGGAGTCAGTGACAATGTGTGCTAGTTAGCAAGCTAAACGATTCATTAAATAATATTGAGATAAAGTAATGTTGACACATTCACTGCAGCAGAGCGTGAGGTGCAGCTCCAACACTGAGCTCTGCTCTGAATACCTGAACACCCCGTACTAACGGCTCCGAGTTCACCCAGACACGTTTGTATCCCTGTAAAAGGCCCAATTCCAAACCACATCCTACCCACTCCCCCTCTGTGATGGAGTGAACTCCATCTGTAATCACACTCGCAGCTAAATGAGGCTCTCTTCTTCCAGATGGAGGGCGTAAAAACAGCAGCAAGCTTTGGAACAAACTCCAGCATGTCGTTGTGTCCCTGGGCAAGACACTTCACCCCAAATTGCTCCTGTGGGGAAGCGTCTAACAAGTAACATGTAATGTAATATGTTTAACAATACATCGTGGTAACCATTAAGTTGTTAACATCTGTATGTCGATATTAAATGTCTATCTTGTTGTGCAGTTTATCAGTAAATGTTTGCAGGAACTATTTGTAAACAGCGTGTTTCCTGACGGACACACAGCGTTCGGTCGGTCAGGTAGTGAAGCAGGTGAAGTCAGGTGATGCAGACTCGCTGTTGGAGGGCTTGATAACCCACTCCCCTTCCACACTCGTTGGTTTGGAACAGCACTTAATGTGGCGGACCCTCCGGACGAACACACAAACGGAGGGGTAGGAGTAGGGAGCAGTTTGGAATTAGCCCTTTATCAAACTCATCATGAAGTGTGGTCTTGTGCTTTGGGAGGTTGCCTCCTTTTTTTTTTAGCTTGAAGAGGAAATAATGGACAAGGTTTGGCAATCGTTAGATGTCACATTTAATGTTTTCACCATTATTCTTTCGATGGAACCTTTAACACATCCCATATGACAACTAATATTTAGTCATTAAGTTTGATTTACAGTGCTTGAACGCAGAGTTTATTAGATACATCTATGTACTGTATATACTGCAAGTTTTATTCAAATTACAATGCATCTGATTAAAACATCAAATATACAAACATTGTATAAGACAGCAAATTATGAATCCAAAGAGTAGTAGTTGCTGCGTTGGGGTTAGTCTAACACACATTTGTCAGTTATTACTCTACAATTTTTCAAAATGAGCATCATTTGATTCAAGTACTTCATTCCAACACAAAATAAAACATATAGGAAGCTAGTATCTACACAAATAGTTCATACAGGAGCTGGGGGAGGGAGAGGGACTGTACCACTGCTAGCTGTGTTCATTCCTGAGAAAATTCCCATCAAGTTTCCAATAGACACCCATGGCATGTCTCTTTTCTGTAACCAGTATCAGAATAGTTAAGGGATAATCGTCAACGATGAATAATACACATGTCAATGTGCAGGGTTCGAGGTGGTAAATCCCTTGTGAAGCTGTTTCCATGTGGTAAAAACCAAATGATGAGCCTTATCGTAGGGAACCAATTGAAAAGGGAGCTACAGCGAGTTTAATGACTGACACCTTAAAAAAAATGAATATGTAGGTAAACACTTTAATATGTTTCTGTCATATAAAACACAAGGTAATTAAGAAACACCAGACATCCAGGTGGCTTTGTGGAGGATTCTAGGAGGGAGTAGTATAATCTATGCAGTTGATTGGCAAAAGGGATTTGTAAGTACTTAAAAACAGAAACATATTAAAGACTGCATTAATACCAAGCCTCCGTTAAAGTCAGCCAGGTCATTTGGGCTGAAATACTATAAAGTCTGTAAATCTGTACATTTTTAGAGGTATGTCAACCACCTAGTACGAACACTTGAATAGAGTTTTAATCAATGGATTCAAGAAGTATGAGTGGGAGTGGGGCCTAAGGGAAATGAAATAGGGCATCCTCTATAGTTCCAGACCCCGGAGGTCTCAGGGCATTTTGTCCGACTCCAACGCTGCGTCCACTTCTGAGTGAAATGACTCAACATGGCCTTAATCTGTGTATTTGTAACAAACCTGGCAGTTGAATCTGAAAGCTAATTTATTACCAAGGGCACATTTCCAGTTGGATCTCTACATGATCATGACTTGTTATTGTTTAGTTTCATAGAGAGCACTTCAATATTTGGTTTCAAACAGGTAACGCTGTGCCTTGGTTTGCTGGATTTTCCTTTTTTCTAAATGTCGCCCTGGAGAAACGAGTTCTTTTTCATTTAGTGTATTTTTGTTTGGTTTTCTAGGGTTAAAACTTTGTGTTGACACAATCTCTGCCAACACTAGGAAGAAATATTATCCAAACAGCAGAAGAATAGTGTGCAGTTATGGGGGAATAACTAGCCTGCAGTCAATCCAAGCTCTGTGAACAAATGGAAACACATATATATATATATATATATATATATATTTTTAGAGCTTCTCATACTAGAGTTTCATATCCAACCCGGCTCTTGGTTGCGAAATATCAGGAATCACAAATGTCTCTTTTTTCACATTTATTTCTATTGGCAAAGCATTTCACATGTCTATATATCTCTTAAACATTACTTTTGGGCCAGTTCAACTTGTATCAGTAAGAAAGATTTGAAAGGGGGGGTAGAGGGGATGACACGGGTAAAAGGACCGCAGGCCGGATTCGAAAAATGCGCCCATTTCGAAATATAAAAAAAATGGATAAGATCCATATAGAAACTTTAATTGATTGAGGAGTGATTGATTTGAAATTTGAAAGACAAATTCAAACTGAATTCAACAAGGGATTCATATTTAAAACGCGACTACTCTACTGGCTTCTAATTAGTTTAAAAAAAAACATATATAGGACAGCCTGCAATAAACTAAAGAGACTAGTCCAATTCTCATTCGCATGAAATAAGCCAAAAGAAAAAGATAGTTTGTTATCTGAAAGTCTAAAATAAGTCATGTTTGAATGGTTGCCAGTGAGCTTTGAACACAGCCTTGGTGGTGAGCAGCCTCTCCCTGCCCTCCTGATCTATCAAAGAGTGAACATAGGCTAACAGTCAGGGACCCCTTGGCCATCGGTGGTACTTTGTAATACAAACGTCTTGATGATTTCTAAAATTTCAGGTGAGTGTTTGGATAGTGCGGTAAAGGCTGCAGGGGGAGCAGTCCATGTAATTAGTAATTCAGTATAAAAGCTTGAATGGACATTCAAGTGTTTTCAAATCGTCCCCACGTGAAATCAGAAAGGTGTGGAGGTAAACAAAGCCAAGATAATGAGCTCAAGAGGTAGAGACCAACACGGTGAATCATTTATATACATATTCACACAGTGCTGCTGTGGTGAAATCATTAACAACAATAACAAAAAAAGGCTTCTCCTTAGATATATCTACAACTCTGCTGTACACACAAGATACAGATCAAATGACTCTGGGAATCATTACAGGATTCTTCTAGTAGCAGGGTAAAAATCAAGAAAATATATACATTTGTATGCAAGTTTGAAAAATAAAAAGGAACTTCGCAGCCCTCCAAAGGTGCAGGCTAATACCATTTCTATACAGTGGTTTTGTTTTTTAGGTTTGTGTGTAGGTTTCTATATTTACCATATATACATAATCATACTTTGAGGTGTGGGGAACAATGCATGCTGTTAAACACAACAGGAATAGAAAACAATTCTGAAAAATATCTTAAATAATTTACTTCAAAGCTCTTTTTGGGGGGGCGACAGTGTATATGTAAGAGAAGGGGGACTAAAGCTCTGGATTTAGAAAAAGCCCATATAGATGAGACCATGCCATCATTTATACCTGCTACTTCTATGGTGAGCAGCTGAAAGCAATAGGAAAGAGTCGCCCAGTAGGATGTTTGATATATTCATATAGAAGAAATATTGGAGGTTAAGCTGCTTCTTTACTGATGCGTTTTTCATTTGAACATTTTGTTCACAAGAGAATGATTGTTCCCCATTTGTCCTTTAACAAGAACACAGGGTTCTACGTCCAGAGGAAGACTGTCCCGTCTCAGCTACCATAGAGTCTCTATGTTCTCTACAATCTGGATCTGATACACGTAGCATTAGCCTTCTTCCTCCTCAACCTTTACCCTTCACAACAATACGTGAATGTAGTCCTCATCCACTTATCAGTTGATCTGTTATGAACTGAATTTCATCCCGATCTGTTTTTTTCCATTGTGCCGATCAAAACGACCTGGATTGGGACTGTTGCTGACACAAACCAGCTCCTCTGCTCAGCACGTGTCAGATATGGGAGTTATAAGTAAAAGCAGCAACATCTTTCCTCCACAATCAACCGGTTAACTCAAGTTTGACAATAAACAGGAAGGATGGACTACAGTAGGGTTAGGGTTAAGCTGGATTCACATGATACTCAAATGTCTCTTAGCTTGGTTTCTCTTAGCTCAGCAGCTGGTTAGTTCAGTTTCTATGGTTAGGTCATAGATTGTGCCACTTCACACAGCTGTTATCGGATTGGTTGCGTGTTGAAAGGTCAGTGATAACGAGGTCAAAGAAAAACATGTAAATGTGAGCGAAGGGCTCTGCAACCATTCCAAGCAGTGTGCAGCGCAGAGGGTAGAGCTTCACTTTAGCGCTTCTCCATAGAAACAGATTGGCAAATCAGGACGTTGTACAGCGGATCATGTGAATGCAGCTTTACGGTCGAAAATGGTTGTGTAAGATGTAAGTTTTCTTCGAACTACCACACAGGTTGCAGGAGTTTTAAATCCTCTCTATTTGAGTGGTTTGTACAGGGAGCAATTTAAGCAAGTGTGATGGGGAACAGGGCCAACGTGTTTCAGCTCAGTGCAGACTCTGGTTTTATTCCTGAGTCTTTCTCTTCCTACTCTTTGGGGTGAAGTTAGCTCAGTTTGGCAAAGTGGTTAATAGTTGCCTTACTGAACAACAGTGAAGTTAGGAGGCACACAAGAGGGTGGAGCATTTTCATTCATACAAAAAATGTAAGTTTTGCTCACAGGACTGTTTAGCAATATAGCCAGCCTGCCATAGTGACACTGGAAATGTTGAGTAACCTAAAGTTTTATGTTAGAAATGTATAGTAGGGTGCCCAGCACAAACTTCCGGATGCTAACTTGCATATGTTGGACAATTTGCACAATTAGCACATGTGCTATGTAAACAATAATAAAGAAAATGGCTTGGCCGATTTGGACAATGTTGGAGTGGTTTTGAGGGTTATCTAGGATGCTGAACCCATTTCTGACATTTTCAGGATCAAAGATGGCAGTTTAACCAGAAAGTGCCAATATCTGTACTCTAGGTGGGCTGGTTTTGACGACCATGTGTTGTGAACATTGGATATAGAGAGCACAAAATGAAAATTATTATCTCTACTGTGGACCGTTCTTTTTTTTTTTATAAATAGGGGATCTGTCCAATCCAAATGATCCAGAGTCCCATTAATCTTCCAAACCGACCCATAATGTATCAAAATCAGCCCATCGAGAGAACAAATATTGTCATTTTCTGGGTAAAACTGCAATTTTGTATATGATAAAGATCTAAAATGGATTCAGCATCCTCTATAACCCCCAAAACCACTCGAACATTTTCCAAATCTGCAAAGCCATTATTTAACTATTGTCCCCAATGCTAATTCATGCTAATTAAAGCATATATGCTAAATGTGCAAATTGCCCAACAAATGCAGGTTAGCATCCAGTAGTTTCTTTGTGCTGGGGACCCGTACATTTCTATCATAAAACGTTGGTGTACTCAACATTTCCAGGTTCACTATAGGACTCTATGAGCTGGCAACTAAACTAATACACTAGTACTGAGCTAAGTATTAGCAGTACAAGTACCATGGGAAAGGTGTTTTTTATTGGTAGTATGAGGGCATCCTTTAGAGTGGTCCCTTTAAAAGTATTTCCTATTCATGGAAAGGTTCAATTGTTCTTCATGTAAATGAGTCGTTAAACCCTCACCTTCAACACTGAACTACTTCAACAAAAACAAACACTATTTATCTAAAAAGCCCACACAATATCATTACAATTGTGCATCAGCAAATCTAATCTACTGAGCACTGTGAACACTCATTACTTCCAATGGAAATAAACCTGTCCCCCTTCATGATGACTGACTGACAAAAATGTACATATTGGTACAGGTTCAACTTCATATTACAGAGAATATTTAGAAATGTTTTGGGGCCTCATGTATAAACCTTAGTTTTAGCGCAAAATAGCATGCCTTAATTTCCTTGTTCTTAAACATGTATATTTACACACATATATATCTAAACAATTATTACATTCCTGTATGCCTGACCTTTTTTTTTAGGATGCCAAACGTGTGGATTTGAGTATACGCTTATCTTCATTGAGATGTATAAAAACCAGAAATAAATGTCTTGCTATTTAGTTTAAGTCTATTCATTGACTTCCATTATATTTGATATACATATATCAAAGCGTTATGGTGTGATTGGTAAATGAAAAGACACAAGCTTACCGTGTCTTCTGACATATACCGAGTATTCAATCAATATTATGAACGTTACGCTATCACTGTTGTTGTACGGAGTTTTTTTTCCTAAATCCTGATGAATTCTCCGTCTTTTAACCACGTGACATTAAGGACATGTGGTTATAAAAACACATAGCACCTGATTCTTTTGACCGTTAGACCGCAGCCCTGGAACGATTGTGAACTCCTCACGTGGTGTAGAAACGTAGAAAATGTTCACACCGATATCATTTTATAAATCCCATCATTGCCCACATCTTTTATGTTGCATTTATACATGAGGCTCCTGATCTTTGGCAAATGAACCGTGACATAAGTTAAAAACTATGGCCAACTGTGAAAGGGGGACACTTGGGGATACAGGGGGGATTACATGCCTGTAATAATTCATCTTTAATAAGTTAAAATATCAATGTGACAAGTGCATGTTTTTATAAAATACGGGGAGCTTGCAGTTGGAAAAACGTTAAGCCTACCAACAATTACAATCGATTGTCTGAATAAGAAGTTGGATTTAGTTTTCAGTGGCCTGATTGAGTAGGGAAATTAATCCATTTGTGATCACAATAATCTTAAAATAGACATCTTTTTTAAATGTATATTAATATATATATATATATATATATACATATATATACATATATATATATATATATATATATATATATAGCTAAACAAATGTACAATAACTGTAATCTACCTGGAAGTAACCAGATGAGTTTGTTTAAAACATTCTGATTTGGTCTACAGAGCATTCATTTGCATACCGGGCTCCTCTAACCCCTGTAAAGCAGTTATCAGTGGATTCTCTTCATTTGTTTCATGTTTCATGTTTCAGCAGACCTGCGAGTCCTGCTCTCCAGTGAAATGCTACGCAGACGATAGAAGACGTTGAGAGGCGTTCCTGTTCCCGGCCTAGCAGCGTGTTGGAAAGATGAGGACGCAGCAGCAGCTACTCCCACACCAGTGGGGAGGGGGGCATCTCAGAGGGCTGAGCCACCGTGGAGCTGGGGAGCAAGGGCAGAGGGAGGTTAGTATCAGCTGTTCAGTGTATTCTAACAGAGACGTTTGGTGCTTAGTTACATGTGTAGCGGTTACCTTTGATGTGTTCCTCTAATTTAAAAGAATATTGTAGTACAGTGTACACTTTTTAAAAATATTTTTATATTAACTCCTTGTGTTTGCTTTTTTAATTCTTTTTTTACATTTTATATCAACTTGTTTTGTTTATATGAATATTTGTATTTTATTCCATCTTTTATTGGGCCTTTCACGTCTTTGATATAAATATCTGTATTTCTTCATTTTATTTTTAATTCCTTTAACACCTTAGGTTTTTTCTACATTTTATTTAAACTTTTGTTTTGTTTAAATATTTATTCTTATGTTTGTATAAATATCAATATTGTATTTTGTCTTTCATTGAAAATTCTGATTTGAAAAAAAAAAGTTACACATCATCATCATCATCATCATCATCATCAAATGACCTTAAAGCCTCCCACCTGATGAAGCTCTTGAAAGCAGCTGACTGAGGGTTAATGCAGAGCGGCACCCGACTCCCCTTCTGCTGCTCCAGGATGAACTGATGGATGATCTCTGAGAGGATGAAACACCGACAGCATGTCTTACTCAATGTTATCCAAATGAAGTTATATATAGTCATGTCCTTCATCGCAACACCAGTAAGTGAATAACAGCAGGTACACGTACCTTTGACCTGCCTCACAGAGCTGAGATTCTTCTCAAAATCATCGTCAAACTTGGGATTAGTGACGGGCTCGAAGTCGCTGGTGTACACGCGTCCGGTGGAGGTGGTGTAGCAGCATTTGCACATGCAGGTGTGGTAGCGCAGGCGACCCTCGTCCAGGTACGGGTGGGCCAGGGCGTCCTTCGCTGAGATCCTCTTTGACTGGAGACCAAACACACCAGTTACAGTTGAGTGAGTATTGGCTACATTTAACATCACTCTTCGCCTCAGAATATAGTTTCAGGTTCATTTATCTTTGGGCCCAGATATGGGTACTTTTGCTCTCGAGAGGCAACGTTCATAGGAACGACCAGGGTCCCGCCTCTGACAATGTAACCAGTTCTCTTCATACATCCATGTTTAGAAGTCCCATTTAGCCACTTTAACTTGGGAACATTTTTTACTGACGCATTATATGTTAACCACAGATCTTAATTCAGGCAGTTTAATAAAAAAACTACTCCCTCTGCATCGCACACTGCACGATCACGTTCAAAAAAACATTGACTTCAAAACGAGGGAACCTGTACGACGAAGCCAGTTCAACATACTCTGAATATCTCTGAGTTACCGGGCTTAAAGGTCCCATGTCATGCTTTTCCGGTTATTACCCATCCCCTTGTGTGTTATGAAGGTTTTTATGTAAACGGTCTGCAGAGTCACTAACCCTCAAAGTACACCCTGTATTGAAGTAAAACTCTAACACAGTCTATGCTGCCCCAAAACGCCTCGTTGGAGATTTCTCATTTTCCATTGTTTTCTTCCTGGGTACTCTGACATGGGGATACCCAGAGGCCACACCCTCTGCCAGCCTTTCATGAAACAAAGCTTCCCAAACCTTTCAGCGATTCATGGCGGATATGCACATCGTAGGACACTGAAGAACGATGCTGTTCCTACTTTGTTTGGACCAGCGGGAGATTCCGGTACACAACCTGTAAGTATTCATTGTTGTTTGTGTATTTATGATGTTTAAAACAAACAAGGTATCTACCACGATTGTTTAAATGGGTAAACGTCTTTCAGGCTGCTAAGTTGGGATGGCGGAGAAATGCTCTCTGCAGACCCATTCTCACAGCGTTATAAACCTTTTTCTTACTCAATATCAAGCCACACTTATTGTTTTTACTTCGGCTGTGAGTGTTTGTGTGCTCAGGATGAATTTCGCTTGTTCTCGCTGTATCGCCGACCCGGAAGCCTGTCCGCTCCTCGCAGCAGATCGCAGCAACGAGCCTCTCAACGTCCCGACCAATCAGAGCACACTGGGCTCACAGGGAGGGGGGGGTAGGAGCTCCAACAAGCCGTAGAAATGGCCATGTCATGGGACCTTTAACTAACCCTAACAAACGAGATCTCGCTAGGCGGTCCTACGACGCTGGTTATCAACTCGCTAAATCAAGCCAGGGTTTCTCCGTCCAGCTGAGAGTGCGTTCACGTGAAAGGGGCGGGGTTAGCAACATTTGACCAATCACAAACATGGATAAGCGTACTGACAGCGCAGCGTCATACTTCATGAATGAAAAGTAAAGTATCATGTTAGACAAATATGAAGAAGTTCAACTTTAAACATCCATGACTTGCACACTTAATCCAGGATAAAAGCAACATAGCTGTAGCTGCAAGGTGAATTACAGAACAGCTGGAAAAAGAAAAACTACCGAATGTTTGAATGCGTAAATGAACAGGTTTATGATATCACTGCCCCATCCAACACACAAGTTAATCTGACATTAATTACATTTGAGTGTTTCGTCAACTTAATGTTTTGTTTTAAATAACACTTCAGCATACAGTATGTAGTAAGTGCACGACTCCGGTGTGTTGCACGGCCAAGAAGCTGACACAGATAAGTGAATAGCTTATCAAAGCCCCCAAAATATTCACAGAATAAATAAAGTTATCTAAATGTTGCAACCAATGCGAAGAACTGGCTCCTTCCAGTACAGGTGCACACACTGGCCAGGTAGACCTGCTGTGTTACTTTGCTGCTTGCTTCCAACAGTCCTGTGTGGTGAGAGGCACACACCGTGTACACTGCGTTGTACAGTACACATCTATCAGGGTTCATACACTTTTTCACCAATGATTTTCAACCTTATTACCACTTTTCCACGACTTCTCCATGACCTTTACCTAATTTTCCATGACCAAAATCAATGACTCTTTCTCAGCGTACCACTGAAAATGGTTTATTTGAACATGGAACAGGAAAATAAGGTCTGCATATGAAACATGTTGAGCGTATCTAAAACAAATCAAATAGGCTTACTAGCTTCTACACGCTAAAGCAACTCAAATCTCTCACCAGCAAAATAACTCGACCGTTAAATGCCATTATACGTTTCATTACGATACAGTATTTATTATCGTTATAGTATTACTATTTCGGCGATAAGATAAAATATAAATTATATTTGATGCAATTTTAGTTAAATTTACATGACTTTTCCAAAACTTTGGGAACAATATTGTTTTCCATAACTTTTCCAGGGCCTGGAATTAGCATTTTGAATTTCCATGACTTTTCCAGGTTTTCAATGACCTTCAAGGGGTTTGGTTCATTAACAAAACGCAAAACCATGTGCCTGTGTAACAGTGACTCACCGGATCAAACACCAGCATCCTGCAGAGGAGGTGCACGGCTTCATGGGTGGCTTGGCCTGATAGTGTGTACAGAACAGGAAGTGATGGCTGTGGACCAAAGAAACATCATTCAGCTTCTGCTCAACTTTAACAACATGTGTGTCAATGATAGCTTTCAATGTGCCAACAGAATGTGGGGAGGAAAACTGCAAGCAATAGATGCATGGTTTCTGAATCTTCAATATTCAAAAAGGTCGCATCAGGGCATGTGGGGAAATATTGGTGGCGAACTGCCAAGGTAAAAACCTATTTTAGACTTATTCATACTTATACACCACTGTATATATTGTAAAACAGCTGTTATGTATTACAATGTGCACATTTTTACTTTAACTTGTTATGATTATAGATATTTCTATTTGATGTCCTCTTTATTGGATAATTTACTTCAGCTTTTAATGATTGTAAACATTTCTTTATTTTTGTATTGCACATTCTGACTTCTTGTGTTTGTAACCCACTCAAATACATGCGACCCACCTGAGTGAGTTCAATGTCACTCTTTCACCCTGCAATAAGGAGCAGCTCCAACTGAGGGCAGTGCTGGGGCAGCAGAGGGGAAACAGTCTGCATTTTCAGGGTTCAGGTATTTTAAATTGTGTTCCTTCATTTTGTATTCTCCTACTCTTCTTTGAAAAAAAGCTTACTGCTTGTTCATATATGTTAAATAATTATATTGTGTATCAAGTGAGTGTTACAAATGAATGTTACATGTTTATAGACTATTGTTTTTTTTACTATACCTCTTACTGGACATTTAATTGACCTCCTATCGTTTTTTTTTTACCGGCAGTGGCTCAGTCAGTAGGGGCTTGGACTGTGAGCCATAGGGTAGTCGGTTCAAGTCCCAGAACTAACCTAAATGTGGTGTATGGACTGGTACTTGGAGAGGTCCAAGTTCACCTCCTGGGCCCTGCCGTGGTGTCCTTGAGCAAGGCACCGGACAACCCCCCACCGGGCGATTTACAATAGCTGCCCACTGCTCCTGTTACTAGGATGGGTCAAAAGCAGCTCTGCATGTGTGACCATTAAAGAGGGTTTCATCCCTCCAATTCTATCTATCTATTATATTCTATATAGTTACATTTTATTTGTTTATCTTTTTATTTTACATTCTGACTTTTAATTTATGTAAATATGTTTGTTCTATTATCTTTTATTTGACATCTTTGACTTCTTCTGTTTATATAAATATTTGTATTGAATTTTTTAAATATGTATTTATTTGATTCCAAAATGGAATAACAATCACTAAACCCAACTTCCCCGGCGATAAACAGAGTGTTCTGATTGGATGGATTGGTGTCATTAGAGCGTCTGTACTGTACAATGATGAAACCCCGCCGGTATCTCTTCATCAGCCTACCTGTTTGTGGGGTCCTCTGACGATGTGTGTGCGGGCCCCTTCACACGCCGTCCTCATGGCCTCCATAGAGGGAGTCCCCAACAGGTCAGTGATCTGATCCAGCTGCACGGTTAAACACACGTTATGGTTCAGCATGCCGGATCGTTTTCTTTGAGAACAGAGTAATTCATTTCATACCAGCGAGAAGCAACTAAATCCCACCAGTAATACCATCCTCATAAAAAAAGACAGTATAATGTATAACAAACCTGTGAAGATCCTCTCACATGTATCAGACATGCTTCCACAAGGTTATTTTAACCCTTGTATGGTATTCGGGTCTGTGGGACCCGTTTTCATTATTTAGGTAAAGAAAAATGATATGATCAATTATTTTTTCAAACTCACACTCAATGGCCTTGGCTCATTTTCTGTGAAGAACATATATCAGATCACATTTTCAATGACCATTCTGTGTGTGTGTGTGTGTGTGTGTGTGTGTGTGTGTGTGTGTGTGTGTGTGTGTGTGTGTGTGTGTGTGTGTGTGTGTGGGCTGTATCCGAATATTCGTTCGTTGGAGTACTATTTGGGTTTCAATTTCGTTATTCGGATATTCGTTTTGTTTGTTTTTTCCCCGTTTGTTTTTCAAATTGAATTTATTCAAATCTCCAATATCAACGTAAGAGCTTGTGCCTCTTCGGGGGGTGCCAACACTTAACCATAAACGTTATCGTTTACTTTCTCCGTCTTTATATGTAGATATTACTTTTCTCCGTTAATCTCCGTCACGTTGTTTCCAAAGCAACAACAACTTCCTGTCAACTGCGCTAACTCTCCTTCAAAATAAAAGCATGTCTATAAATAGGAAGCCAAGCCAAATTACACTTAAGACATATACAACTGCAACGAAAGTAACAAACACAATGCGATATCCTTTTCAATTTCAAAGAACACAAATTGGGTTACATTAACAAATAACTATAAAACAACAATACTGTAGAATAACAAAATGAATGCCGTGAATAAACCGAAATACACATGTTGAAGCGGTTCGCTGCTGATTACTACGCCCCCCCCCCCCCGCGCAGGCCGAATATCCGAATATTCGCTGCTGAATACTATCGAATATCCGGAGCCCGACAAATGGTATTCGGGACAGCCCGAGTGTGTGTGTGTGTGTGTGTGTGTGTGTGTGTGTGTGTGTGTGTGTGTGTGTGTGTGTGTGTGTGTGTGTGTGTGTGTGTGTGTGTGTGCGAACCAATCTTTATTTTTTTCACACACTATCCAAGCTGCAAATTTGGGGCGAGACACAGTAAATAAAGCTTTGCCAGTTTGGGTCCTTATCACAGCTGATCAAGATGGCCAAACGATTCTCTGCTCAGAGGGCCTTGCAAATGATTCTGGAAGAGAGAGAACCATTTGATGATGATGTAGAGGAAGAGGCTTCAGAATGTGAGGATCACATTTCTGAGAAATCTGAGTCTGACAGTGACTTTGAAAAAGAGGATGAGATTGAGCATCAGCTAGCAAAAAAACAAGTAGCACTTTCATTCATTCATGTGATCTAAATATTAGATCAATTATAAAATTATAATTAACTTATATAAATATTGGTATTTTATTTTAATCTTTTGTTGGACATTTTAATTTACTCCTTTGTTTATATAAATATATTCTAATTATTTAAAAAATATATATTATTTTTCTTTTAATTTATAATGTTATAATATTTTAGTATTAATCTATTTTAATAAATGGCATTGTTTATTTTATTCAAAAATGTTGGGCACAAAACCCAACTTGCTTTTTAATGTGTGCACAACTGCACATGTGTCTTTGTTTGATTATGTATGTCTCGGGGTGTACAGGTGTGTATGTATGTATTTTTATTTTTTATCTCCCTGTCTGTATCACACAAACAGAAGATTGATAAATAAAAGTATTGATTGTGATTCTTATAGAATATTTAGAGACACCCTGAGAAGCTTTTGTATCATGAACAACTCTCACGTTTCAGCTGTCTGTACCACAGAACCACTGTTCATTATGCTGAAAACACCATCTTTTGAACACAAATACTGTTTTAAATTCACCCATGCCTAGTTATAGCTTCCAATCTACCTTATTACCATTACTTAAGCTCTAAAGGCTTTTAAATGTGAAACGTTCGGTTTCACAGGCGGCAGATTAACAGTGACGGGGGACAATGTGCAAAATAAAAGCAGCTTGGAAACAATCAGTAAATAATTGATGTTGTGGAAATGTACATTATCCTGAATGTATCAAGACAACAAAAGTAACCATAGAGAGAGTGTTGAGTTACCAGAAAGGTTTCTCACTCAAATATGATGAAATATAAAACTGGAAATTGACAATAAAGACCTGGTTGGTTCTCTATGCAGATAACAACAGCGTGACTATTGTAAAACCCTATTTTGTGTGTACATTTTATTCGATTATGTATGTGTATATAGTATATGAATACTGTGTGTGTATTTAATTTAGGGCTGGGCAATATATTGATATTGTGATTGGATATCATCTTAGATTTTGGAAACTGTAATTGTAAGTCTTTTTTTAAGGGCTGTAGAGTAAATTGAATTAAATTCACTATGTAAATCAAGCATCAAAGAAACCCCTATGGATGGATGGATGATGATCCGTTACCTGCTGGATGGGACTCTGGGCTTGGAAGAGGATGCGTCTCCCCAGCAGCTCAGCGAAGATGCAGCCCACAGACCAGATATCGATGGAGTTGGAGTAATGGCGGCTCCCCATGAGGATCTCAGGAGCCCGGTAGTACTGAGTCACCACTTCCTGAGTCATGTGTCGGGACTCGTCCGACTCCTCCACCCGGGCCAGGCCAAAATCACAGATCTGGAGAGCAGTCGTTCATAGGTTACTACACCTGTCCCATATTTGACTTTTTCCACTTGATTCATTAGTCTGTGAGGGTTTGATTATTTCACCAATGTATTTTAAAACCATTTGTTTTGTCTGAGTTTTCCCCAGATCGGCCTAGAAGAAAAGAACACGTACAATGCATGTAAAATTGTCCTTTAATAACTTGAATCTTCCTAAAGCCTGTAAAGTTAACAACTTATTGACACTGTGACAAAGGTATTGAAAAAACTCTGTAGTTATAGAGGTTTCCAATGTTCTTCATATAGCCCCTAAGTACAGACCTATAGCCCATGGTACATACTGTACTTACCAGCCAACATAAGAAAACAACTATTATTTGTCATCAGATCAAACACACACACACCTACATACTCTAGATGTGTTCCCCCCCCCCCCTTATGTGCCCAATCCCCCCATGTGAATCACACCTGGCACACACACACAGAACAATTTGATACATTTCCCGCTCTTATGTGGCCAATCCCCCCACATGGATAACAACTGGCACACGCAATACATGTTCAGTGTCTGTTCTTTGTATATTTACTGCAGTTTTTCATGTATACCAGTAGTCTGATACAATATGTACAGTTTGAAAGCGTGTTAAATGACATTTGGTGCTGATTAATGGTTTTTGTGTTTGTGTGTTTGACCGCGAGCACCAAAGTAAGGGGGGGGGGGCGGAAACGAAGACAATAGGAGGGTTAAAGAAGGATGGCCAATTAAAGCCTGTTTCATACACCTTGAGCACACAGTTGCTGTTGACCAGGAGGTTGCCAGGTTTGATGTCTCGGTGTAGAATGCCAGCAGAATGAAGGTATTTAAGTCCTGGTGATGGTACGGTGCAGGAGGAAGAGACAACAGGAGAGAATATTACACCAGACATGGTATAGATTTGCAGTACTTTGAATTTCAACCAGCTGCTTTTATCTTTTCCAACTTACTTTGAAAGAAACCAAAACACTGCACTTGAATAAAGTGAACAATGGCAGGATAGAGGATTTCAAAGAAAAGTAGCTGAGAACCTACCTCGTAGAATCTGATAAAGAAACACTTTGGCGTGGTCCGAGCTCAGAGGCTGTGGTGATACGATGATCTTATGGAGGTCACTTTGCATCAGTTCAGTCACCACATAGCTGACCAGTGGGAAATTAAGGGGAGAAACAGAAACACATCCAACAGCACAAACAGAAAATCTCACTGAGAACCTCTGTGTTCTAAAGCCATACTCAATATCTTAAAGTTCAAGTTAAGCCTCAGAATCAGCAGGGCTCCTGTTTCCAACTATACCCAAGGACAGTTTAGTGTTCTCGTGACAGCTGATCTGGCCTCCTTGCCCTTAGAATATTTCTATCTTGGATATCAATTGTACTTGACTTGGAGCAAATATCTAACATTTTAAGCCATTCTCGATCTCCACAAGGTATAAGAATATATTGCCACAATACAAACCAGTCCTCTGTTCAACCCAAAAATTACAATATGTATTTTTTATTTATTTATATATTATATGAATTTTTGCTTTAAGTCATCAATGCACTAGGCTCAATTAACTCATACATTTAATGCACTCGTCAATTTACTAGAGTTTGGGCAATTTTGCTTACACAACATGTCTTCTTTTAGAGGGAAACATCCACTAAACAGAATACTAAAAATCATCACTTTGTTTTGTTATTGTCCAACTTCAAAAACAACTGAAAACTGCTATTGAAATGGACATGTTGTGTAATGTTTATGATTGTTAGAAGTTTGACGAGGTACTACAGAGCTGTCCAATTCCCCGAAGATAACCCATGGTGTCTGGCAACAGCTATCAACACAGAACCCTCTTTGAATGAATCATTGGTGAAGGATACATTTCTTCAAAGTAGTCAATGTGAGGAGGTTGTAATATGTCCAGAGCAGAGAGAACCTGAAGAAAAAGGGAAAGCCAAGATATGTTGTTTTCACGTTGATACCAGGTGTGAGACCGAAATATCCAAAGACATCTATAGACTGCTTTTCAGTCGTCATGCTAACAAAGCTAACGCTACTAATCAAGAGAATCAATCCTGAAAGTTAGCTGTGAGTAGTGTTAATTTCGTCAGCTATTTTTTAAATTTAGTTTTAGTCTTAGTCCTGTGTTACATTTCCTTTTTAGTTTTAGTCATATTTAGTCACCTTCATCCTGTTTTTATTTAGTCAAGTTTTAGTCGACTAAAAGTCTGAGCATTTTAGTCTTATTTTAGTCAAAGAAAACTAATTATTTTAGTCTACTTTTTGTCAATGAAAACTGTTGAGTCTTTTTTAGTCATCAGATTATATAGAACATTTCAGTCAAACTAGTCTAGCCAAAACCAATAATTTGTCATTTTAGCATATATAAATAAATAGGATTATATCTTGTCCTTATTTGATGAAAACCACAGGTTGAATGATGAAGAAGCTTTGCAGAGAGTATCTGCTCAGGTTTGTGGTGTTTTCACCAGCTGTGTTATGGCCGCATTGCTTCCCTTCTGATAAAACAATGCCTTCGCTTTTTTTCTCCGCCTCATTGTAGCTAAAATGGGCCCAAATATCACATCGTTTCTTTCTCCCAAGCAGTGGTGGCTTTAGACTTTTTCGTTGTCAGTCATTTTGACGGACAGGATCGTAACATTTCCGTCATAATCCATTATTATCCGTCGAGTGCACAATTTATCACTCATTCGCGCTGACGGGGGGGGGGGGGTGGTAATTCGGTTAACGCGAGTGCGACCACTGCTCCCATGCCCTGTTGTTGCCATTTTATTTTCTGTTAAATAAGGTTAGTTAGACCATGAGTTAGACCCGAGTCTTCCTGACAGTTCACAGTGTGCCGCTGCCCGGTGTAATTCAAATGTACCGCCGCGCGCAGCACAGACACAAAGCTGCTGCCCAGCCACAGCACCGGAAATGGAACTGCTGGGAGAAAAACTGACTATCAGAAATGTAACGCTATCTTTGATGATATTTCGTCTCCTCATTTTTCGTCAACGAAAGTAAAAAGAGATGTTGGCATAGTTTTTATTTAGTAAACTACATTTTCGTCTCGTCACTTTTCGTCAACGATATTGCATGATGATTTCGTTGCAGTTATTGTTTACTGCCGTCGGTGCCGTCTCGTCATCGTCTCGTTTTCGTCATGGAAAAAAAGATCGTTGACGAACATATTTCGTCATAGTTTTAGTCAACGAAATTAACACTAGCTGTGAGTTGAAGCAAATTTTCATAGTCGCCAAAAGACTGTATACTAAATGATTTGTCAGTAACATGACATCACTGGGCTCCAAGTGTGCAAAATCTATGGGCCCAGGTCCCCAGATGATCCAGGTCTTTTTCTACTCCAGTTTGGCATTGCATGCCACTGAGAAATGTTTATATGAATGAAAGGGGGGCATGCCTCCAACGCTCTATCCATTTCTCTTTAAACATCCATGATGAGAATGAAATCATTGATTGGAAAAGCTTGCGACTAGTGCTAGCGTTGATAGACTTGTCGGTCACAGGAGGACTGTCATTCACAATGGCCTGCAGGTAAAGAAAGGGGTTCTACACATGTGTTTCCAGCTGGTACTTACGTTTTCATGTTTGAAGAAGCATAGCATCTTCAGCTCCCGAAACACCCTCTTGCAAGAAACAAGGTTTTGGAAGACATTCGGCATTTTTTTTAGGGCAACTCGCTTTCCATCTCTGGGGTCTGTCACTGACCTGGGGGAAGAGAACCAATAATGAGAAGAAGAAGAAGACTTTTTGACTTTTGCAAAAACACTTTATTTACATACGATCAATTATACATTCTTCAAATAAAGTGCTTCATTGTGCAATACAAAAAACGAATCACTTAAAATAATACATTAAAACCTATGTCTTAAAAACTTGTGCAAAGTGCAAATCCTTATCCACAACAGAACACACAATATCATCATCAACACCAACGCTGTTTAAAAGCGTCCAAGTCTCCAATGTGTTTATAAAAACGATGCTCCAGCCAGAGTCTGGCTCTGATGTTACACAGCCAGATTGCTTTTGCCTCTTCCCCTTTCTTATTTTCAACACTGTTTTCCCTGCTTAAATAAATGGTCATTTTTGCTTCGCCAGAGAGGTAATTCAGGAGCTGCCACTTTTCCTTGCTTGTCTTTTTATATGGAGCCCCCATGATAAAAACACTCTCGGTAAAAACTATACTAAAAAGACTAAAAACCAATGTTAAAAGAGAGAAGAAACCCGTGAGTCTCTTGCACTCTGTAAAAACATGGAAAACAGTCTCTCTAAAACCACAAAATGGACACTTGTTAAAAACAGCAGGATTAATAATGGAGATAAAAGAATTACAGGCGATGGCACCGTGTAAAATTCTCCACTGGAGGTCGGCAGTACGTTTTTTAATGGGAGGTTTGTATACAATCCTCCACTGTGGGCCTGGAGCAGCATCCAGCCCCAGGTTACTCACGCGTCGGAGAATGCAGCTGCTCACATCTCTCCACACCAAATCAGCCGGGCCGGTCAGATACCTCTGTAAAAACTGTATCCTAAAAGTGGTTGTTCGGCTGGCCAGGTGGATAAGGCCCTGTCCCCCCTCCTCTCTAGATAAAAACAGCACCCCCTGTGGCACCCAGTGTAGACCCTCCCAAAAGAAATCCACCAACTTCTTTTGTATTTGGGCTAGTAAGCCTGAGGGAGGGTCCACACAAGTTAAGACGGTGCCACAGTTGGGATGCCACAAGGTTGTTTAAAACCAACACACTACCTTTAAAAGACATTTGAGGGAGCAGCCACTTCCACAGCTTTCCCTCTATCTTTCCTATGACGTCCTCCCAGTTCCTCAGGACTATGCTTTTATTACCCAGGAACACACCCAGGTACTTTAGTCCATCTTTCTTCCATATCATGTTCTGGGGAAGAACTGGGAGACCGCCACTCCACTCACCGACAGCGAGGGCCTCACTTTTCCTCCAATTCACCCTCGCTGACGATGCTGAATTAAAATCCCTCACGATGTTAACTAAAATGTCTGTATCTTTTTGGTCTCTAATAAAAACAATGATATCATCCGCATACGCTGATAAAACCATGCCTCCACTAAAACCAGGTAAAAACAGCCCTTGCAGTTTGGAGCGTATTTTGTTGAGGAGGAGTTCTAGGGAGAGTGCATAGAGCATGCCAGACAGAGCACAGCCCTGCCGCAGTTCGTTGTAGAACCCCTCGGACAGAGTTTCCCCCTCCTCGTACTCGCTTGTATAGAGGATGGAATAAAAGCTCACAGCTCGCCTCCTGATCTGGCTTGGCTCCATTATTTCCTGCCCTGTGTCTGACAGCAGTGAGTGGATCACTCGCCTCTGCCCATTCTTTTTCTCCAGGCCGAAGAAGAAACTAGTGGGAGCATCCATCTCATTGGTGTTGAGGAACCGGGACTTGACTAGTGCACCCTGAACTTTAACGTCCAGCAGGTTGGCTAAAGCCAGTTTTTTCTCTTTTGCGGCTTTCACACCAGCGCTTTTCCCTTTCTAGCTCCGAGCGGGAGCTTTTCTGGTTCAGCTCCGGTTTCCCTTTTCTGCTCCCGCTCTGTTCACACCGCCCAGAGCTGCCGCTGCTGCGTCATGACGTCACCGTTTACGTGCCCGCTTCATAAAATCCAAACCGCGTGGAAATCCCTCACATCGACAACAACAACAATGGCCGATTGTATTGAAGCGCTGTTCGCTTTGGTTATCCTCTTACAAAACGAAATGGAAGGCATCGAACGACTTTACAAGGGACGACTTTACTTGGAACTTTACAAACATCACATGCGAAATGCAAGACTTCTTTGTGGTCTTCAGCATCTACTTCAACCCGCCTCGACGTAAGAGAGACGTAAGCGACGCCGCCTCTCAGCTCCGAAGCTCTTGCCTCTAGACCGACAATATTTTGGAGCTGGAAGTGAACCGGATTCCGGAGCTAAGAGGCGGCGCCTCTGCGGTGTGAACAGGAAAAAAACGGTACTTTTCAGGCTCCGAGCCGGAGCTGAAAACGCGTTGGTGTGAAAGGGGCATTTGAGGATTTCAATATATCCTCGATCTCCTGTGGTCTCACTTATTGTTTCTAGTTCCACCATATCACTCTCCAGGTCTTTCATAGACCTAATGATGTCTTGTGTGACATTGAGGGTGTGCTGTTGGCAGAGCAATCTTATCTCAGTCTTACCATGGTCCCACCACTGCCTAAGACTGCTAAAATCTCCCTTCCTCTGCCTAAAAACACTCCAGAAATAAATAAGGGCCTCTTTCAAATGTTTATCAAATGTTAAAACCGAGTTAAAATGCCAATATGCACTTCTGGGTAAAACATTTCTAATAAAAACATGACATAAAAGCAAAGAGTGATCCATAAAACCAGCAGGCGATATGCTGCACATTTTAAAAGTGTTAAAATGATGCTTAAAACAATAAAAACGATCTAGTCTAGCTGATGAGATTCTATTCTCTCTGATGTGGGACCAGGTGTACTGCCTGTTGTCTGCGTGCATCCTTCTCCATTAGGGGTGTAACGGTTCACAGAAGTCACGGTTCGGTTCGTACCTCGGTTTGGAGGTCACGGTTCGGTACGGTTCGGTACAACAAGAAAAAGCAAAAAAAAGTCCCAAATGCATAATTCCAGGTTTGTTGTTATTTATGTTCGAACAGTAGTGCAAGTTTCAGTTTAAAAATAAAGAACTCTGACATTTTGAATAATTAACTGTATTAAACAGTTAAAAACAAACCTTACACAGTACACTCAGATGGCCATATTATCTATAATGGCTGATGTCAAACAAAAAGGTTTCATCAAGCTGTACAACTAAAAAGAATGTCTTGAAAATATGACATCATAAATAATAAGAAAGTGTTTCAAAAGCACAAAGTCGTTGAAAACAAAGCTTCCGTTATTTATTTTGGTCTCTCGGCTCTCATGTCTATTGGCTTCTTAAAAACAGCGGGGATAAGCTGTTGAACTGCTGTTGTCTTTTGCCGGGCTCCGGTGATTGGCAAATCTGGGTGATGCCTTCTGATATGATTTAGCATGTTTGGCGTGTGTTACTATTAGCATACCGCACCGCTGTCTAACAACGCCGACACACCGTCCTCGTCCGATCCACCACTCGCACACTTCATCGTTATTGTAGTCCACAGGGAACTCGAAATGTTCCCACACAGCTGATTTAAAAGAAGCAGGTGGGTTCTAGCTCCTGTGTGTTATCTGAAATCGCCATACTAATTTTCTTCTTCTTGTATTTTGTTCGTTTTGTTGTTCTGTTTCTTCTTGTTCTTCATTTGTTGTTTAAGGGCGGCTGGCAAACAGCTTTTAGGCGCAATACCGCCCCCTGGATTATATATAGTGTAGTGGATACTGCCCTGAATGACAGACTTTTTTCCCACTCGTAAAAAAAAGGCGTATTCGTCGTGTGACTGCGTGTGCCGAACCGTGACGTCCGAACCGTGACGGTACGGGACGAATACGGATACCGTTACACCCCTATTCTCCATACATCCACCAGGCCGTGGAAGTGGACCAGCTGCCTCAGAGCATGCTGGGATGCTGCTCTGCATGGTTGCGATCTAAAGATGCATTTTCTGTACAATTAAAATCCCCACCCAAGAATAAAAAATCCTCCGTGGCACAACCGTTTAATACATCATTAACTTTGAGTAAAAAAAGCTTCCTCTCTGCACCGTTTGTTGGAGCATACACATTTATAAAAACAGCTGTAAAAAGGTCAAACCGTGCTTTTATTAAAAGCAACCTCCCATTGATAAAATGCTCGACCTCCAGTGAGACAGGATTAAAAGACTCGGAGAGGAGGAAGCCCACCCCCCCACTGAGAGAGGTGTTGTGGCTTAAAATGACTTCCCCCTCCCACTCCCTTCTCCAGTCCATCTCATTAAAAACGTCGCTGTGCGTCTCTTGTAAAAAGAGGACATCGATATGTTTTATTTTTGCAGTCTGAAATATTAAAGCCCTCTTTCTTTCCTCTCTGGCTCCATTCACATTTAAACGTCCCACTCTAAAAGTATCCATTTCGAGTGAGATGTTAAAAGCAAAAATAAAAACAAATAAATTAAACACAGACATTGAGGTTTTTAAAATCAACGCTGCCCATTTGTTTCCTTACTTTAGTAACAATTCTTTTTAGTCTATATATTTCCAGCTCATCCAGGACAGACTGCTCTCTCCGGCTCATGTGGAGTCTTGCTGAGGCACAAAAAACGGACAAATCTGGGAAATATTCTTCTATGATTACGTTATGTTGGTTTTTTGTCTGCACCAGGTCATTTGTTATCATTTCAGCCGAGTACATCTTTTTTTGTTGGCTACTGCTCAAAAAACCTGGCACATCGCTGCTGTCAGACACACAATCATCCCAACTCTCATCCGCCTGTTCTTGCTCTCTTTCTTCCTTTCCCTCACTCACTACTTTACTGCTTTTTGCAACGGTTGATACATCCTTTTTATTTCTCCTGCGTTTAGTAGCAGTCTTTTTTTTATTTATCATTTCTGTTGCGACCTCCTCTTCCTCCATCTCAACAACCTCCACCTGCTCACCCCATGTTTTCTTCTCCTCTCTTGTTTTGTCCAAATGTGTTTCCCTATTGCCCCTTTCACACCAACGCATTTTCAGCTCCGGCTTGGAGCTGGAGCCTGAAAAGTACCGGTTTTTCCTGTTCACACCGCAGAGGCGCCGCCTCTTAGCT